TTACCTATTGTCAGAAGTGGCAGTCTCAGAGCAACTTTGGAAGTTATGGTTATAGCCGGGCATGGTGGCTCACTCCTGTAGTCTCAGCTACCTGGGAGGCTGAGGCAGGAGGATCAGTAGAGCCCAGGAGTTTGAGGCTGCTGTGCTCTATGCATGCACCACGGCACTCCAGCCTGGGTGACACAGCGAGACACCATCTCTCTAAAAAATTAAATAATAAATTTGAAAAAGTTATTGGTATAGAAAAAATTGAAAAGAAAAGAAAAATAAAGTTTTTTTTATCTTGTGAGCAGCACAATTAAAACAATCAACAGATGGAAAAGACTACAAATAAAAAATGATAGTTCCATCACAGAGAGAGAATACCCATGCGTTGTGCTCTAGGGTTCATCTTGTTTCTTGTTCTTCCACTCAGTACATTTTAAAGGCCCATCAGTGTGCTGCGTGTACATCTGGGCTGTTCTTTCTAACTGCACAGCACTCTACAGTATTACTCCATCCGGGTTTCATCTACCCACGTCGCAGAAACTGACAGGACCGTGATGAATGTCTCATACGTAGTCCCTTACGGACTTGTGTGAGGATGTTTTAGGTAGATTCCGAGGAACATCAATGCTAGGTTATAGAGTACAATATACTTAATTGTATTAAATCCTGCCAGGTCACCCTCCAGAATAGACAGCACCGTTCTGTATTTCCACCAGCAGTGCACGAGGGCTAACATAAACATCTACATCCTCAACCCGTGGCATTACGGAGCTTTCTAATTTTTGCTAGTCTCGTTGTGGTTTTCAGTTACACTTCCCTGATACCTCTGAATTATATGCTTGTTAGCATTTACACTCATTTGAATTTCCTTTTCTGTAGATTGCCAGTCATTTATTGCCACATTTCTCTTGGAGCTCCTTTTTCTTATTGATTTTGCTATTAGTCTCTTGTTCATTATAAACATTTCTAATAATCTCTGTCATGTGGTAACTTTGTTTACTGTATTCTTTGTTAAAAAGTCCTTATATGTAATATGATCAAATTGATATGATTTATACTTCTTCCTGTCTCAAAAATATTCTCTAACATTCCCTCCTCTTATAGTTTTACTTTTCACCGTCTTTCATTCATCTGAAGCCCACCTTTATGTGTTAGGTAGAGATGAAGGTTTGTTACTTCAAAAGCAAGATGGTTTTTCTAACATCATCAGAGAGTTAGCATCTCCCCCACTGACTTGTGGAGCCTTCTTGAGTATATACTAAATTCCCATAAATACCAAGTCTGTCTCTGAACTCTTTATTCTGTTCCATTAGTCTATGTGTCTATTCATGATAATTTCAAAGTGTTTTTATTAATGCTCCTTTGTTTTACTATCTGGTAGGGTAAGTTCTCCCTTTTTGTTCTTCATTTTCAAACTTGGGTTAGCTATTTGTGGCATTTTCTTTTTCCACATAGTGTTTAAAGTGTATTGTGATATAATGCATTAAAGTACATTAAACAAATACATAGTCGTGTAGCACATTACCTTGTAACCATCATCCAAATCAAGAGATGGAACACTGCAGGTACCCCAGAAGCCATCCTGTGACTTTCTTTTTGAAATTGAGGTGAAGTCACATAACACAAAATTAACCATTTTAAAGCGAAGCATTTAGTGCATTCCCATCTCTCCCTAGTTCTGAAACTTTTTCATCACCTGAAAAGAATATGCATATCCATTAAGTAATCATTCTCCATTTCGTCTTCCCTCACTCCCTGGCGAGCACTAATCTGATTTGTCTCTATGGAGTTGCCTGTTCTGGACATTGCATATAAAAGGAATTATACAATAGGTGCCACTTGGGTCTGGTTTCTTGCATGTAGCATAATGTTTTTCCGATTCATCCAAGTTGCAGCACATATGAGTATTTCATTTTTTATGGCTGAGTAATATTCCAAGCTATGGAGACTCTTTTTTAACCCATTCATTTGGTGACAGACATTGGGGCTGTTTCTGCCTTTTGGTAATTGTGAACAGTGCTGCTATGTGTGCTTATTTTCAACTTCAAACCTCTACCCTCACTTGAGAAATGACTGCTTTCGTGACTATTTTATTTTTTCCTTGCCTTTAAAAAAGGCACTTTTTGCCACTTAATGGTGTATCCCCAAATAGCGTAACTTAGAATTGCCTGTGTTGAACTTCATACAAACATAATCATGCAATGCATAGCCTTTTGTGTCTAGCTTTTTAAATTTAGTGTCATAATTTGAAGATTCTTCCATGATGTGTGTAGCTGTATTTCCTTTTTATTACTATATAGCCTTTTCACTGTGTGAATATTTCACAATTTATTTAACAACCTACCATTGACTAGAGAGCAATATAATTTTTAGAATAAGTTTCAGTCCTTAAAAAATTCAACTAAAGTATTGACTGGCTGCATTTAATTTACATACTAACTTGGGGAGGACTGATATATTTATAATATTAAGTTATCCTATTGAAGAGTATATAATCGCCCTCCACTTATTCAGATTACTATCTATGTCCACTAATTTAAATTTTTTCTGTAGGTGGCATGTATTCTTAAATTAATTCCTAGGTTGCTAGTGTGAATAGCATCATACATAAAATATACATATATATTTTGTATATATTGTATGTACATATACATATACATACATACATATATATGTATATATGTACATACATACATAAAACTAGAATATAGTTATATATTCTAGTAAGTTAGTACTAGTGTAGAGAAATGTTACTGATTTTTGTGAGTTGATTCTGTTCTTGGCAACATTGCAGAGCTCATATTAGCTCTTATAATACAAATTCTGTTTGCTGCTTCCTTGCATGCCTGGATTAAACCTGATTTAATCACAGTGCAATAGTTAAAAATTATCTGTGTAACTCAGCTGATCTTTTATTTAGGATTTCTGTGTCAATGTTTATAAGTGAAAGGCCAAATAAGTTTCTTCTCTTATATTGTATTATAGCTTTGGAACCAAGATTACACTGGCCTCATAAAGTAAGATGGACAGTTTTTGATCTTTTTTATTTTCTAGAACATCTTTCAAAAGATTAGAAATTTAGTAGAATTTCTTTGCAAAGCTATCTGGCTTGGGACTTTGGGAGAGATGTCTTTGATTATCATTTGTAGTCTAATTGATTTATTTGTCCATCCAAGTTTTCTATTTCTTCTTTTGCCAAAAATGGCATACTGTAATTTCCTAGGAATTTATCCATTACACATAAGTTTCAGAAATTTATTAGCATACATTCATATTTAAAAATAATTTCTAAAAAACTCTCTGCTATAACTTCCCCTTTCTTGGTATTTTATGTGCATCTCATTTTTTTTTTTTCGATCACTGTAAGAAGATGTCTATCTTATTAGGTCTTTTCAAAGACCCAGCTTTTGGTTTTATTAACCATCTCTACTCTTTTACTCTCTACTTCGTTGATTGCTGCCATTGACCTTCTATTTTATTTCTCTTTGTATATCTACCTCTAATTTTCTCTTTTTTGCTCTGTTGTTCTTTACTCAATTTCTGGATTTGAATATTTAGCTCACATGGTTAACCTTTCATGTCTCCTGAAATGTACACTTAACATACTGCTTGTAATATGCCCAAAAAATCGACATGTAGTGTTTTCATTAGCGTTTAGTTTTGAATATAATTTTTATATAAATGACTTTCCAACTCACAAGCTATTTAATAACATAACATGTTACTTAATTTTCAGATATAAGGGATTTATAAAACTATCCTTTCGTTATTTTCTACTTTTTGCATCAGTCTGAACACGTAGTTTTTGTATTAATCCTTAGTAGTGTAATAAGTCTTCTTTTATAGCCTAATTACGGTCAATACTTACAAATGTGGTTGAAAAGAATGTTTATTTTCTGTTTTCTGGGCACAGAGAACTTTATACAATTAAGATATACAAATTTATACCACTACAGAACTAAGCCAGTTAGTTGCATTGCTTAGATTCTGGGTAGCTCTTTCTTTTGTCTGCATTATGACTTTGTTTCTAGAGGAGAATGCTAAAATCTCCAGTCACAGCTGATGTTTTGTATGTTGTGATATGCTGAAGTCTAATTTGGCACAGTGAGAAAAGACAAATAAGCAAAATGGTCAAGGACAGGAATGGAAAGAATAAACCTTTCATCATTCGTGGATGATATACTGTGGTCTCCAACTACGAGGCCGCAGACTGGTACCAGTCGGTGGTCTGTCAGGCACCGGGTACAGAGTTCCGCCACCCCCCAACCTCTGTCTGTCCGTGGAAAGACTGCCTTCCAAGAAACTTAGGAAACGAGGAGGGGGCCCACACAGCAGAAGGTGAGTGGTGGGCAAGTGAGTGAAGCTTCATCTATATTTACAGCTGCTTCCCATGGCTTGCATCACTGCCTGAGCTCCACCTCTGCCCCTGTGGAAAAACCATCTTCCAGGAAACCAGTCCCTGGTGCCAAAAACACTGGGGACTGCTGATGTAATATGTAAATAAAAATTTACATAAAATTATTAGAATTAATAAGATTAACAAGGTGGCTGGATATAAGACCTATATCCCCAAATAAATTTATATATACAAATATACATTTATATGTATATATACATATACATATATATAAATAATAAAGAATCAGGAAATGTAATTTAAGAAGTATTGTTTATAAAAAGTACCAAAAATATAAGGCAGCTAGGAGTTAGACAAGTGTTACAGAGATGTATGACCAAGAATGGTCACAGCATCAGTGCTTGTAACAGTGAATACTGGAAAGCACCTGAAGTTAGCCAACCGAGAACTAGTTAAGTACATTTTGGTACATATACATAGCAGAGAGACTACATTGCCATTAAAAATGAAAATGCTGCTGCTCCCGCGCCTCCACAGGACTGTGTCAGGCAGGCAATTTGCCCCGCCACCCCACAGCTCTGCCGGAGCCCGGGATTCTAGCGTCTCCACCGGAGCGGGAAGCCCGAGGGGGAGCCGGCGCTTCGGGTAGGTTTGGCTTTGGTTTAAAAAAGAATTTAGCCTGTATGTACTGTTTTAACCACTGGAAGAATGACAGATGACAAAGACGTGCTTCGAGATGTGTGGTTTGGACGAATTCCAACTTGCTTCACTCTGTATCAGGATGAGATAACTGAAAGGGAAGCAGAACCATACTATTTGCTTTTGCCAAGAGTAAGTTATTTGACGTTGGTAACTGACAAAGTGAAAAAGCACTTTCAGAAAGTTACGAGACAAGAAGACATTAGTGAGATATGGTTTGAATATGAAGGCACACCACTGAAATGGCATTATCCAATTGGTTTGCTATTTGATCTTCTCGCATCAAGTTCAGCTCTTCCTTGGAACATCACAGTACATTTTAAGAGTTTTCCCGAAAAGGTCCTTCTGCACTGTCCATCTAAGGATGTAATCGAAGCTCATTTTATGTCCTGTATGAAAGAAGCTGATGCTTTAAAGCATAAAAGTCAAGTAATCAATGAAATGCAGAAGAAAGATCACAAGCAGCTCTGGATGGGATTACAAAATGACAGATTTGACCAGTTTTCGACCATCAATCGAAAACTCATGGAATATCCTGCAGAAGAAAATGGATTTCGTTATATCCCCTTTAGAATATATCAGACAACAACTGAACGACCTTTCATTCAGAAGCTGTTTCGTCCTGTGGCTGCAGATGGACAATTACATACACTAGGAGATCTCCTCAAAGAAGTTTGTCCTTCTGCTATTGCTCCTGAAGATGGGGAAAAAAAGAATCAAGTGATGATTCATGTAATTGAGCCAATGTTGGAAACTCCTCTGCAGTGGCTGAGTGAACATCTGAGCTACCCGGATAATTTTCTTCATATTAGTATCATCCTGCAACCAACAGATTGAAGGATCAACTATTTGCCTGAACGGAATTGCCCTTAAACAGGATTTACCAGAGCATGTCACCCTTCTGCTTCAATCAGGTTTGGTGGAGGCAGCCTGACCAGAAACACTGCGCCTGCTGCAAGCCAAACAGGAACAAGATTCCATGTCAGATAAGGCAATTGAGTTGGTCTTCCTTTGCATCACCACTCTTTTCCTCCACTGCCGTCAGTAAACCTCAGCTGTGACATGAAAGACTTTACAGGACCACTGCAAGTCTTCTGTTTTCTTGTAAAATATAACGAAGCCAAAACCTCTGGCCTAAGAAGATGTGCCACTTGATTTGTATTTCTGATTAACAAATAAACAGAGATATTTCCTAAGGTGACCGTGGTTGAACTTTAGCTTGAGAGAGTGGAAACATTGGTTTAATTTTCAAGAGAATTAGACTTAAGAAAGTAAAAGAGAAATTCTGTTATCAATAACTTGCAGTAATTTTTTTGTAAACGATTGAATTACAGTAAACCCATCTTTCCTTAATGAGAATTTCCTATGTTTACAGTCTGTCCATTGGTATGCAAACAATCTTGAAACTTTGATAATGAACAGTGAGAGATTTTTAAATAAAGCCTCTAAATATGTTTTGTCATTTAATAACATACAGTTCTGTCACTTTTCAAGTAAAAAAAAAAAAATGAAAATGCTGGCTGGGCGTGGTGGCTCACACCTGTAATCCTAGCACTTTGGGAGGCTGAGGCAAGAGGATTGCTTTAGCTCGGGAGTTCAAGGCCAGTCTGAGTGAGAGTGAGACCCCATCTCTACTAAAAATAGAAAAATAAGCCAGGCGTGGTGGTGCACACCTGTAGTCCCAGCTACTTGGGAGGCTGAGGCAAGAGGATCACTTGAGCCCAAGAGTTCAAGGTTGCAGTGAGCTATGATGAGGCTACTGCACTGCAGCCTGGGTAAGAGAGTGAGACCCTGTCTCAAAAAAAAAGAAAAAAACCCACAAAAACCAAAAAAAAACTAAGGGCAAAATAAAGACATAACCTTCCCTGAAGAAAAAGTGCAGCCTGTATACAGAGAAAAAGGAAATACTGAAGAGCAAGAAGGAATAGTTCGCAAAGAAACTGACAGGCACATGAGTGAACAGACAGGAAATCATGGCAGAAAGCTGGAAACTATAAAAACTTAAAAAGAACCAAACAGGGCCGGGCGTGGTGGCTCACACCTCTAATCCTAGCACTCTGGGAGGCTGAGGTGGGAGGACTGCTTGAGGCCAGGAGTCCGAGACCAGCCTGAGCAAGAGCGAGACCCTGTCTCTACAAAAAATAGAAAAATTAGCTGGGCGTGGTAGCATGTGCCTATGGTCTCAGCTACTCGGGAGGCTGAGGCAGGAGGATCACTTGAGCCCAGGAGTTTGAGGTTGCCGTGAGCTATGACAACACCACCACACTCCAGCCCAGGCAACAGAGCGAGACCCTGTCTCAAAAAAAAAAAAAAGAAAAGAAAAAAAAAGAAAACGCTGACACTTATTTACTGATGTGAGGAGACTACAGGAGGAGACTATCTTCCTTCAGTGTCTTCTAGTTTCTAATATGTTTTTTGTCTCATTTGTAAGTTTTAACTTGAAAAGCTCTTACTTGGGGTCTTAGAGACTGATGGAGGTCGATGTGGTGTCCTGTGTGGTTTATGTCATGTTTTTATTTTTTTGTTTGCTTGCTTGCTTGTTTTGCTGTGGTTTGCAGTTCTCTGAATATTAACACATAATTCATGGAATCACCACTTCAATAAGGATATGGATCAGTTTCATCAAAAAATTCCCTTGTGCTATCCTTTTATAGTCGCACCATAGTATTTCTGCAACATATTTTTGAGTAGAAAGAAACCCAAGAGATGACAGAGAGCAGCAGTAGGCTAATTTCATTTATGAAAAATAATTCATGCATCTATTTGTTTACATGGCACAAAGGTGTCTGGAAGCACAGTCACAAAAATACTGTTCTTATCACTTCTTGACGGGATTGTGGTGATTTCATCTTTGAACTTTTCTTTATATTGTGACTTTTTATAGTAAATACTTGTCACTTTTATTTTAAGGCAATGGCTATATTCAATTTCTTAACCAGGGTAATGGTCACACGAATGTTCACAGCATCATTCTTTAGAATGCACATGTATGCACTAGGCAACCTTCTGATACATGCTTCACAATACAATAATGATATTTTAAAAGATGTATCATATCACTGTTACAATCAGAACAAAAAATAATGCTATTTTTCACTTCCAAAAAAACCCTGTGCTTTTTAGACAATGATAAGGAAAAAGAAAAAAATGATAATAGTTGATGTGTTTGTTCTATAGGAGACTGCAAGAGAAACTGCTTAAACAGCATTTCTTAAGAGGTTATTTAGGCAAAAATAACAACGGGAAGGGAAACCTGACCAGAGAAAGCAGATAATCCCACAGTTGCCTGTGGCTGCAGAGACTGTGGTGGAGCCTGCCATGCACCCCTATCCCCACAGGCAGTTGCTTCCACGACAATGTCGCTAATTACCTGATCAGCACACCAGTAGTAAGTGGAGAGGACAGGGAGGCCAAGGAAGAGTCCGGGCCACGGGATGTCTCCAGTGACGGGGTCTCGGATGATGTGGAAAGCATCTGGGCGAGGGAGGTAGCACTGTGGCTTGGCAGTCCAGTTTCCTTCGCTGATCGTACGTGGTACGGCTTGGAAGTACTTTTGCGGCAGCCCCTCGTATCCTCCCACTTTATTAAAGGCTTAAAAACACCATGATATTTATCAGTTACTTAAGGAACATAGTAACATGTGACTGAAGAACCAAGATTGCAAAGTAAGACCTGGTTTGATTAACTGTGTCTCATCTGTAAAGCGCAAAAGAGTGACACATAGTCAAGACCTCATGTGCTAAGGAAAGAATGGCTCTTCCAAAGAGAAAGAAGAGTATAATGGACATCGGTGGCTGTGTGTCTGGTACCCTCTCTCCTGATTCTGGTTGCAGAACCCCTCTTATCAGTTGTATTCCACTCTGCGTGGTTTGGGCGGGCCTAGTCAAACTGTCTCCCATTCCGATCTGGCATGTGACCCAGGTCAGGCCAACATTCCCTGTCCCCTGGGCAACAACTGATGTGTGACAAATGGACATGAGACCCAAGCTAGGCTAAGCAGAATTTGCCCCAGGATTCTTCTGCTGAAGGAACTATAAAAGACTGCTTCCTTCCATCGGGGTCTAAGCTCGTATGACAATCTGAAGCTCTTTTGTTTACCTGATTCATTCCAAACCCTGGATCTAGCCATGCCTGAAGGTAGCATGCCCCTGGAATTTTTAGCTACATGAGCCAAGATAGTATACTAGTTTGCCTATACTAGTTTTGAACTAAAGTTCCACTACAACTTAAAGAATCTTGATTAAAATATAAATTAGTATTCTTTTTCCTACACTGCCAATAAAATATTTATGAAGCATCGTAGTCCAAATTTTCTTCAGGGCCTATAGCATTTCTCCCCCAATATCCTAAGTGGTATAAAAACTTGACATTAAGGAAAAACATTTTTAAAAAGGCACCAAAACATCTACTTAGCAAAAACAAACAAAAAAACCTTTTATTTTGGCATATTAAACCATATTCCTTTGAAACAGACTTGATTTTTGAAATGGGTTCAGAGTCATTTGGAGTCTAGTCAATGAGAGGATACTGAAGGACTATAAAATTAATCGAGCCACCTCATGGCATTTATAAAAATAAGTTCCATGGGTATTTTAAAAAGGCAAAACGCAGGGCTGGGCATGGTATCTCACACCTGTAATCCTAGCAAGTTGGGAGGCTGAGGCACGAGGATTGCTTGAGGACAGGAGCTCAAGACCAGCTTGAGCAAGAGTGAGATCATGTCTTTACAAAAGAATAGAAAAATTAGCTAGGCATGGTGGCATGTGCCTGTAGTCCCAGCTGCTCAGGAGGCTGAGGCAGGAGGATTGCTCAGGCCTGGGAGTTTGAAGTTGCAGTGAGCTATTATGATGCCACTGCACTCTAGCCTGGATGACAGAAAGAGACTCTGTCTCAAAAAAAAAAAAAAGTGAAACACAAAACTACAAAGTTATTAGAAGTAAACAGGACAATAGGTTTATAAACTTTCACTGGAGAGTACTTTTTTAAACAAGATACGAAAAGGCTGATAAATTTGACAAAATTTAAAATTTATATGACAAATATCAAATTAAAAATTAGACTGAAAGAAGAGATCGGCACCACGTATAAATGGATCAATAATCTGCATCAACAATCAAGGGAAACTACTGGAAAGAGATGCAGTAGAGAAGATGAGCAGGTCATTCACAAAAAAAGGAAATGCAAAGAGCCACTAAGTATATGACAATATGCTCAACCTCACCAGTATCTAGAAACTTCAAATTAAAACAAAAATGAGAAATGAAATACTTTTAAAAAAATCTATTATATGGGTAAATTTCTAAAAAGTCTTAAAACATCAAGTGTTGGCTGGTGGGAGGTTAGGAAACATATTCTCATACACTGATGAGGATGTAAATTAGCACAGCCACTTTGGAGAGGAATTTGGGGTATCTCTTGATAAAGCTAGGTTTATGCCACAGATGCAAGGTTGAATTAATATTAGAAAGCATGTCGGTGTAATTCACAATGTTAACAGAAAAAAAGGAGAAAAATAATATAATCATCTCAGTAGATATGGAAAAATGCTTATTACAAAAATTCAAAAACCATTCATGACAATCTTTTGCAAGCTTGGAATAGAAAGGAACTTTGTTAGTCTGACAAAGGGTGCCAAGAAAAAAACCACAGCAAATATTTATATTTCATGGTGAAATAGTCAAAGCTTTCCCTCCATGACTGGGGATGACACAGGGATGCCTGGTGTCTCCACTTCAATTGAACACCGTACTAAAGGTACTGACCAGTGTAATAAGGCAGGAAAAAGAAACAGAAAGTATAAAGTTTGGAAAGGAAGAAAACAAAAAGGTAGTATTTTGACCTGGATGCCAGTTAACAGTATGTGTTCACTTTGTGATATTTCATCTGGTTTTGCACTTTGATTTGTGCACTTTTCAGTAAAAAGTTTATTATAAATACAAAAGACAAAAAAGATGCAATAGACCTTTACTCATTGACATAGAAGTTTGCCTGTAATACAGAATGAATGGTGAAAAAACAGGCTTTAAAACTTGTTTTGATTCTATTAAATATATCTCACACATTAAAAAATATTTGTATATGTGAAGAATATTTTTGAAGGTTTTACACAAAACATGTAACATTGGTTATCTCTGGGGAGGGTGACCAGTATTTCGTTGTGTATCTTTTTGTTTAGCTAAAATTAAAAATTAAAAAATAAAATTGCATGTGCGTGGGTTCCAATGGTAACTAGTTTAAAGGACAACATCTATTTGGATATATAAGGTATATATTTTTAAAAGATAACAATTATTTCATTACTTTATAATAGTTTACTTATCAGAAAAACTAACCTGAATCTCTCAATTAAAAAATCCCATTAAATTTCTCAGTAAAGAACATATAATTATTTAGAAATATATTTGCTGATATTAAATGGAATTTTCCACCTGATTCTAAAGTTTATTTTATTTGG